ATCACCCTCAAAATTTGATACTTGCAAACTACTGGTAAAGATCCATCAGGGCCGATGACAATACGGACAAATACGGCCTTGCAGTGAAAACGACCTTTTGTAGACATTTGCAGAGCGAACATCGCGTTATTTGAACTCTGTTATTGGGATAAAATCTAAAAGTTTTAGTTCTTCAACTTTTGAGGAGCCTGTATTCTCATTCATAAAAAAAGAATTTCAGGAGAATCAAGAAATTCCCAATCAAAGCTGTGATAAAGCTGGCTTTGAAGTAGATAGCATGTTCAGACCATATTCTTTTGCAATTAGGCAGAAGTTTGCTCTAATTGATTGTTCATGTGTTTATTGATTCACTAAAGACTCAGTTTATCCAAACGTTCAATTCACTCGACTGTTAAGTTCTTTCGTTTATTTCTTCTTCTTTTTTCAGAATATCTATTACTACGAGTGCGTGCAAGATGGACCATATGTGAAGAGTAAGCCTAAGGGATGTGTGTCACACAACAAACAGAAAAGAGTTCCAATTGGTGAACGTGATGACTTTGGAGACTACACGTAAGTATTGCAACAAATACAAGCGATTTTAAGCTCTAACAATCACAAAAAAACTATTTTTTTCTCTCAAAACCTCATGATAGCTCTGCTTAAGGGAAATACTGCACTTTGCCAAAAAGAGTCTTTTTCCAACTTCTCAACGATACGCTACAAAATTACAGATTTGCTCAAACCGGTTTCGAAGCGAAGTAGGAAACGCAATTGTTTTAGGCAAGAAATGTTTAGGGTCGACAATTTCATGCCAATCAGTGTTTTTGTGCCGGGTTTTAAAACTACGCTTTTATAGTAGTAAAAGTAAAAGTAGCAAAAATACAAGAACATGACTTGAGACGACTCTAGACGTAACTACGACACAAAAGCAAGTAACTGTTCAAAACATGTGATGACGTTATATGACCTTCTATATTATACCTAAAAAGATTGAACTATTATGTCATCTGCGCCATTTGACCGTTAATGCTCTCTTTGAGTTATTTTCGATGATAATCTTACTGCTAACGATCATTGGAGTAAACTGGGATTACTATTAAGGAAATTAAGTAGAATATTTAAAAGCAAGCTAAGCCTTAGAAGGACAGAGATTTCAATACTATGTACTTTTCATTTTACATCAGTACGTAACCTGCTCCTACTTTCTAAAGTGCAATAATTTCTTTTTCTTAGATTTATGTTAAAAGTTTGCCTATAGGGAATTTTCCTGTGTATCAACTTTTTTTT